AAATGTTTTGATCTCTAAACCCCCCTAAACCCTCATAAATAAAGTCTAATAGAACATAGTTAACCCAAACATAAATAATAAATTATTTTTTTTGAAAAAGTGGCATTTTTGTAAAAATTTCAAAAGTGTGACATTTTTGTAAAGTGACACTTGAAAAGTGTCATTTTTTGAAATTTCTCTTGAATAATCGTGTTATGTAAATTGTTTAACTGTTTTCATTATTTTCTTAATATATTTTCAGTATTGTTTTTGATCAGTAACTTGCATAATGTTAAATTACTTTTTTAAATTGCTATGTATCTACCTTTCAAATTGGAGAAATATTTTTCTTTTTAAATGATATATACTTTTTCCTGTCAACATAATTGACTTTAAAATTACACATTTTATTCTTGTCCGAAATAAATTTTATTCTATTATAGGTTAAATATTAGTTACATTATATCTTTTCACATTATTTATGTAATATGACATAACTTTTATGGACTTCTATTCCTATAATTAAACATATTATCATTTTGAAGAACTATATTAACATAAATTTTCAGATTTAAATATGATAAATGACTTTTCAAATTCCTCATATATAATTCAATATATTAAACAAATGTATAATTAATATGTATAGAAAAGTTCTGAATTGAAAATAATAAATTGTAAATACAAAATGATGTGGCAATGAAGTGGAAGATGATGTGTCTTAGTGAGAAAAGTTTACTTTATAGATATAGATTAGTGGTAAAATTGAAGCTTTTGTATTATATTCATGAAGTTATGGTTCATAGTTATATATATTCACCCTTCTCCAAAGTAGAATTCCAAAAGTAGAATTTGTTTATATATATATGTTTTTGAAAGTAAACGAAAAAAAAAAGTATTCTATAAATTCCAAGAAAAAAACACAAAATATCGAAAACTCATAAAGTACACAACGTTATTGTTGTCGATATAATCTAAATCATTTAAAGTCGTTTTGATAAGACGTATATAGTACTATAATAAACACATTAATATGTTTATACAGTACTTCTAAATGGTGTTATAATACGGTATATCAATACACACATGTACTTATTAAATGGTTGCACATATACAATTAATGTCACGACATCAAAACCAAATTTATTTGATAAACTTCAACTACTCACCGAACATACATGTTTTAGTGTAATATTATACGACAAAAAAAAAACAGACATGCAATTTGTCAATTACCGATCGGTCCAAACAAAAAAAAAACTCTAAAACGATAAGGGAAACGAAAGAGGTATGGAGATTGAAGTGTTGATTTGGAAGTGTTATAATGAGTCCGAGACAGCCACATGGCCCCAATTGCTTCCATGCCTTTCATCTTCTCCCACACTTCTCTTTGTCATGTCACTGTTTAATTGTAGTTACTCGCACCATCTCTTTCTTTGGACCCATCGTTCATGATACGAATATACTTGATTGACTCTAACTTGTTTGTTTTTTAATAAACTAAATTTAATTATACTATATAATCCAATATTGATCAGCTGATGTTTTCGTGGAATATGATGTTCAATCATTACTTAATATATATTTGTAACAAAATAAGAATTTAGATGATAGAAAGCCACCCCCAATACTTTTTTTAGTTATTTGGTTAAGCGAGAGTCTAGATCGAAACTTATATATATATATATACTTTTATCGGGCTCAAAACCCTATCCAAATGAGATTAGAACCCTAGGTTTTGGAATGCAACATTTTTAGAAATATAACAATGACTAGTATAGCTACCTACATTTGGTCAATATACAATTTATAATACACAATTATTGTTTTTCAAGTTAGAAAAAAAAAGAACGATAAAAATTAAATTGTTGAAGTTCGTGTATTCTGTTAGGAAAATGTCCATATAAACATGATCTAAAATGGTGTTGCATTGCATGTGCAGAGTTGGAAAATAAGATTAGGTAGTGAATATTATAGGTGAATGAGAAAAATAGAAAACGTCAATTCGTGTTCGCTAATCAATAATCACGAGTGCTTTGTACATGTGATTCACAGTTTTGTCTCCTCTAAAGTAGGGATGATTTTGATAAAGAAAGAGATGTATGGATTCGCTAAAATTTGATTATACCAGAAAAAAAAACTTTTAAAATAAGATTTGATCATAGATATTAATAATTTTGGTAGTGAGTTGTATTCTTAGATCTCGTCTTGTCTTTCTCCTAAACGTCACATGGTACCACTTCATGTACATCTTTTGCTTGGTACCACCCCATGTTTTTGCTTTTAAATTGGCAATGAAAATGCATTTAATTTGTAGATTGTACACAAATGAGGTCCCGAAAGTTTGTATTTAATTTGTAGACGGCCCATAGTTTTCTCTTAGAAGTCGTAAACCCAAACGAATATGGGCGTTTGTATTTTTTTCGGCCCAATCACTTTGAAGTAACTCGTAGTTTTTTTCTAAGTTTTTTCTGCCCTTTTTAGTTTGTGTTCAAATAGAGAATCTAAGATATGGTGGGAAGAAGGCGACACGTGTCTAAGAGTTGACCAATGAGGAAACTCATTGCGTTATCCATTGAGATAACCAGATAAGCAGAATCTAGTTTTGTCATCAAAGAGCTTTATAGTTTATTATACATCACTCCTTTGTTTCTTCTTCTCCTAACACACTTTGAGTCTTGAAGGTCAAAAATAGTCGAGAACAATGGCTTCTCTTTGTGCTTCTTCTGCCATCGCCGCCATTTCTTCTCCAAGGTAAGCTCTTCTTATCGATTAGTATCATTTGCTATTTAGGGAATGTGATTCGTCCTTGAAATTATTTTAGTTGACAAGGCTGAGATCGTGATGATCCTGATCAACTTTTGTAGTCTAGTGATTTGTATTAGTGTAGCTGTTATTCAATTCGAGGATTGTGTGTGTGAGTTGTAAAATTATAGTGATCCATTTAGAATAACTCTTTTCCTT